TTATCACTGCCAACTAGGAACGAGCCCGCTCTCGAGTTTAAGAACAGAAATGCTTGGATTAGTTTAATTGCAAATGAATTTATTTCACGCAATCTTTTTAAATAGTACCATACCTTTGTGTACCACAATACTCCAGTGTACATGTACTGTAGGTAAGTTCTTCGACACTTGAGCATTTTAAGTATACATTTACGTCTGAGAACATTTACGTTTAGACGGTCGCCTACTCGTGTCCGCAAGTCCACACGTGTACGATAAAAGGAATGGTAAAGATATATCAAACGAAAACCCCGTGTACGACGACTGAAATTGAGCATGGGTGAATTGCTCGATGTGACGTCAGTGTATAATTTTTTTCCCCATCCAAAAGTTCGTTAGTTGTCATAGTTCTTTCCACTTGGATTGTTGCTGTTATTGCTGTTTCTGCTGTTCATGTTGTTGCCGTTGTTTTTGGTTTTGTTTTAACCTTATGTCCACTACGAACTAAAATGCAATTTGAGTCGATCCAAACGGGTAAAGCTCGACGGTTAGGTCAAATCCCGAACAACNAATTTGCAGAACGATTGTCAGGAAAGATTGCTATTATCACTGCCAACTATGAACGAGCCCGCTCTCGAGTTTAAGAACAGAAATGCTTGGATTAGTTTAATTGTAAACGAATTTATTTCATGCAGTCGTTTTATATAGTACCGTACCTTTGTGTACCACAACACTCCTGTGTACACATACTGTAGGTAAGTTCTTCGACACTTGAGCATTTAAAAATACATTTACGTCTGAGAACGTTTACGTTTAGACGCTCGCCTACTCGTGTCCGCAAGTCCACACGTGTACGAAGGAATGGTAAAGATATATCAAACGAAAACCCTGGTGTACGACGACTGAAATTGAGCATGGGTGAATTGCTCGATGTGACGTCGGTGTATAATTTCTTCCCCCATCCAAAATTTCGTTAGTTGTCATAGTTCTTTCCACTTGGATTGTTGCTGTTATTGCTGTTTCTGCTGTTCGTGTGGTTGCCGTTGTTTTTGGTTTTGTTTTAACCTTATGTGCACTACGTCAAACTTCAGATGAGACGAACTAAAATGCAATTTGAGTCGATCCAAACGGGTAAAGCTCGACGGTTAGGTCAAATCCCGA